GCACTTGGCGCTGAACCACACAAACGTGGCCAACCTTGCATTTTCTAAATTATATTGCCTATCTATACTTTTTCGTTATGGATGGCTTGTGATGATCTGTGAGGGGAATGAGAGAGAATTTGGGGTCTAACAACACACACACACACACACACACACACACACACACACACACACACACATGAAGTTCATGCTTATGCTCTTCAGCATACCCGCATGCATTCGCGCTGCAGAACCTTGAACATGTTTATTCGCGGGCCTTGCTCTGGCCAATGGACAACCGATTCAGGACCAGACAGCCTTTCCGTTTCTCAGATTCTCCAACATCTTCGCTTTGTTGTAGAAAACACTTTTCTGTACACTAGAGATGGCACTCTTCGAAAGCAAATCATTGGTATTCCAATGGGAACAAATGCTGGCCCAGAAATCTCCAATCTAACGCTCTATTGGGATGAAGCACACTTTATTGATGACATTCGTCAACATGATCCGCAAGCTGCTCAGCGATACACCTTCACTTACCGCCTCATTGATGATGTTCTTTCATGGGGGCAATTACCTCCTCCTTCAGAGCACTATGGGCTTGAGTGGAAGGAAACTACGGCTACAGATGGCTCGTGTACCTTTTTAGGTATGCATCTACGGGTACGTTCTGATGGTTCGCTTCGCATGAGCGTGTTTGATAAAGCGGCTGCTTGGGATTTCCCTGTTATTCGCTATCCAAGTGCTACCTCCAACATCCCTTCCCATCAACTGGCAGGTGTGTTCACTGGGCAATTGACCAGATTTGAACGCATCTGCAATAATTCGCATGACTTCCGAACTGCAGCGACAACACTCACTCGTCGCATGCTTTCTCGTGGCCATTCCCCACCAACCCTCGCTAAAGGATGGACCTGCTACACACGCTCCCGCCAACGTCGCTATCCTACAYAYGTCACCCGTCTCTCTCAGTGGTTCCGACGCATGCTGCGATGGTCCTTGCATCACCCACTTTCTTCTTTATCCCCACATCGCGCTCGTCCTGTCACTGCTTGTTCATCTGCTGCTAATGCAGTTCCCACTGTTGCGGTTCCCACCGCCGCCGCTTCCACCGCTGTGGTCTCCACTGC